GTCTACCAAATACATAAAGTTAAGAATGCCTAGCAAGAAATTAGGCCCAAAATTTCTAGGTCCATTCCCAATAGTGAAAATAATTAACCCAGTTATGATTCAGTTCAGTGTGCCCAGAATTCTAAAGAAAATTCACCCAGTCTTTCATTGCAGCTTACTGAAGCCAGTGATTGGGTCCAGCCCAAGACCGTCCACCCAGCCTCCCCCTCTTCCAGTAGTGATAGAAGGAGAAAAACACTATGAAGTGAAGAAAATTTTAGACTCTAGGTTGTACAGAGGCCATTTGCAATATTTACTGCATTGGAAGGTGTACCCTTTGTCTGAAACTACTTGGGCGAAAAGTTGAAATGTAAAAACTGATAAGTTAGTAAAACAATTTCATGATAAGTTCCCCAATAAGCCAAAAGACCCTCCCCAGCAGGGGAGAGGTGGTTAGTTCTGCTTATGTTAACCCTCCCATATTATTCTCTTTTCAGAAAACGCTTTTCTTCTGAGGAGAGGCTGCCTGTCGGGCCTGCAGCCATATTCCTTTTGGATCTTTGGTCTGCCACACTTTCTATTATTCTACTATGCCTTTTCTTTTGTGGGAAAATGGGAGGGGGGGTTGTATGGAATTAAATTCTATGTAGCCAAAATAAAATTCCTTTCTAGAAAGCCAAGGTCATCCTTTGTCTCTGTACCTCTGCACCTGACCGAATTGGATGGGTGGAACTGCCAGCATGGCAGTGGAAGATTGGACCATGTGATGGACTTGTGGGTATGGGGGCAAGATCGTGAATTTTCAACTGGGTGGGGAAAACTGGAAAGCTTTCAGATTTGGGTTTTCCCAGATGTGCCAACATGGCTCTCTTAATAAATTGGAACTTGGAGCAATACTTTGCCTTGGACTCTGATTTAATTTTGGATGCTATTGCAACCCTGACACCTTGCCTCAGACGCCACCAGAAGCACAGCAAGGATTACAAAGTAAAATTTTAATGACTCTAACATTAAGTACTAAAACTACATGTTACTTTACAACTGATTTAAACAGATGGGCATTAAAAAATAGTTCCTTATTCCATTCCTTTTCCAAGAGACTGGCCAAAAATGCTGTGGTTACTCAAGTGTGTGGTTGTATTTTTGATTTAGGAATTATGAGTCTGCCATTTTCCTTTCTCAGTTGAACTATAGCAGGGATATTTGGATTATTTAAGATGTTGAAGAAAGATCTAAAAGAATACTGTTAGCTTTTATGAAGGAAGATACCTGTCCAGTTCATTGGTAGGACTCCGTAGGAAGACCCACAAAGAAAGCAAACTGAAATGGCAGGATTAGTAAAATTGTCAGTTATAAATGTTAGCCTCACTTAATAATTTCCAAGCAGTCCTGGTAGAAATATCCTCGAGGAATTTTGCTCCCAAAGAAGCTCCTTATTTTCTATGATGAAATCTACTGCTGAACTCTTATGACTACTTTTTTTCTCTTAGCTATTTCTTAAATTGGATTTAATCATACTATGCGAAATAATTTTTTTCCCCACACAGATAAAACTTCCTGCTATTATACCAAGATACCCACATAGAACTCAACAAGCTATCACATCTAAAGAATTCCATGGAGGAAACCGACTTTATTTTCCTCCAATGTAAGTAATTTGCAGTGGCAATTCCTATTAAAAGAATATTAGAATAATAGAGTTGGAAGGGACTTTGGATGTCCAACCCCTTGCTGAAGTAAGAAATACTGTAGCATTCCAGTGAACTGGTTATCCAATCTCTTATTAAAAACATCCAGTGTTGGGGCACCTACAACTTTTTGAGATAAGGTGTTCCACTGATTAATTGTTCTAGCTGTCAGGAAATTTATCTTCAGCTCTAAGTTGGTTCTCTCCTTGATTAGTTTCCATCCATTGCTTCTTATCCTGCCTTCATATACTTTGGAAAATGGAACATACAACATAGAATAGCGTTGGAAGGGACTTCTAGTCTTCTAGCCCAACCCCCTGCTCAAGCAGGAGACCTCATACCAGGGGTGTCAAACTTGTGGTGTCATGTTGTTGTCATATAATGTATTGTGACTTTTTCCTCTTTGCTAAAATGGCGGTGGAGGTGGCCAGCGCATGGCACATCTGGCCGGCAGACTGGGAGTTTGATACTGCCCTATATCATTTCAGACAATGGTTGTCCAATCTCTTTTTGAAAGCCTCCAGTGATGGAGCACCCACAAATTCTGAGGGCAAACTATTTTCTCTTTAAATATATTTTATTCATTTTCACATTCCATTTTACAATCACTTATATACAGAGTATTTGCTATAAGAAAATAAAATAAAAAAAATAAAAAAAGAAAAAGAAAACACAACTCATCATTCACAACCCCACCTGACACTTCCATCCTCCATACACCC